AAGGGCCGGCCCGGTGGTGCACTGGATGGGTGCGCCGCTTGGGAAGTGCGGCGGCGCTCCCGCCCGAGGGTTCGGATCCCACATACAGACCGGTTCCCGCTCACTGGCTGAGCGAGGGGCGGGCGCAGCACCGAGGGTTGCAATCCCGTTGCCGGTCCCGGTCCGGTATGGGCACGACACTGAGGGTTATGGTCCGTTGCCAGACACGAAAAAAGACAAAAAGGAAAAAAAAAAAAAACAACTCCAGGGCCGGCTACAGTGCGCCGCTTGGGAGCGTGGCGGCGCCCCCGCCGAGGGTTGGGATCCCACATAGAGACCGGTTCCCGCTCACTGGCTGAGCGAGGGGCGGGCGCAGCACCGAGGGTTGCAATCCCGTTGCCGGTCCCGGTCCGGTATGGGCACGACACTGAGGGTTGCGATCCGTTGCCGGACACGGAAAAAGACAAAAGACAAAAAAAAAAAAAAACAACTCCAGGGCCGGCTACAGTGCGCCGCTTGGGAGTGTGGCGGCGCTCCCGCCGAGGGTTGGGATCCCACATACAGACCGGTTCCCGCTCACTGGCTGAGCGAGGGGCGGGCGCAGCACCGAGGGTTGCAATCCCGTTGCCGGTCCCGGTCCGGTACGGGCACGACACTGAGGGTTGTGGTCCGTTGCCGGACACGAAAAAAGACAAAAAGGAAAAAAAAAAAAAAAAACTCCAATCAGGCAGCAAAGTGATCAGCAGCAAAACAGGTTGGTGGTGCAAAGACCACATACTACTATCAAGCACTAAGATGCTGAAAAAGGTTCCCCTAAAAAAAAACCTCTAAGGCTCTCAGGACATTTGTGACGGACTGGGTTGTGAAAATAAGTCCCAGCTGAAAGTTGAGGGTTTAGACGTTGCCCACTGAATAGGGCAGGCACAATTTCACCATAAAAAGGGAATCTGCAAGTTAACCAATGGTATGCACTAAGGTTATTCTGGAAATGGCACCAGGTCCTACTGTCCTTATCCAGGAAGTATTTTAAAATGTAATCTTATCTCCATCTAAGTTTTAGATGCTGCAACTTCAGTCCACCTAGTTGATAAAACTGCTCCTCTTAGTTGCAAAAGTAACTTTGCAAGCCTGAGAAGGTACAGAAATAGGATTAGAGAATAAAGTAAATCAAACCTATGTTAGCACTTAGAAGTTAGATTTTGGCTTAAGTTCTATAACTATCATGATAATGTGCTGTTGTTTGTCACTAAGCCATTTGAAATATTTAGTAAGATATATTAAAGATGACATATTAGACTTACAATTCTAATTTGAAATGCTTAATAAAATATAATTAAGTTTGAAAGTGTTTGCATGTTTAAAAGAAACTGACTTATACTCACATGTGTACTAGACTTGCAAGAGTCATTAAAGTCTTTGGAAAGATTTTATCACTATATTCACCTTTTCAGAAGTTTGAAGTATTTGAGAGAATCAAGAATATACTGTGAAACTTTAAATGAGTTTAAAATATTTAAGGGAATTTAACTTTGTAAAAAGAGTTAATTGTTTAAGGGAATTTAAGCTGTTAAATTGGTGCTATAATTGAACCTTTGTCAAAGATCAAGTGATTTTGTTTCTATATAAACAATCTTTCCTGTAAATTAAACAAGATTTGTGAGTAAAACTGAAAGGCCTAAAAATAGCTAGGGTTTTAAATAGTCAACGTTAATGGGTTGAACATTATTCTAAGTATAGCATTCTACAGGCAAAAACATTCCTCTTTAAAAACCTCAACTGATATTATCCAAAAAATGCTAACCTTCTTTGTAACTCAGTTTATTCCCAGGAATCGTATTTTTTTTGTTACTGTAAATACATCCTTTTAACCACTATACTTTCACACTAGTTATTGGAGAAATATAGAAAAACTAAATTATGTATGCTGATTTTGTAATTAGTCCCTTTACCGAACTCTTAGTTGAGGCCTTTTTTGTTTGTTTGAAAACAGGCAGTCCTAGCACCCACAGAAATGAGAATTTTTGTCATCCCTTTTCTGAAAAATTATATTTCTTAATTTTGTTTCGTGTCTTATTGCATTGGCTAGAAATTCCAGAATAACATCAGACAATATATTCTTTGCCGTGTTCCTGACTTTAATGAGAATGCCTCTAGGTCCAGTAATGTTGATTTAAGATTCAGTTCTTATCAAGTAATTAAAATATCCTTCAGTTCCTCAGAAATTAAGAACTTCCAAATAGGAACATATGCTTAATTTATTAAATTATTTCCCAAAGTCTTAAATATGTTTTAGAAGATGTTTGTACACGTACACACACACACACACACACACACACACACACACACACACACACAGTAAATGACAGTTCCAGCTCCTAACTCACAGTTCTTCAGGGAAACTGGTCTTCAAAAAAAAAACCAGGCTGCGGGACAACCAGTTCGCTAAAATCCCCGCTTACGAGCAAAGCCTCTGCACAACACAATGCCTGCGGGATAGGTGTGGACCCGCCACCTTTTCAAGCAAGCGGTGACTCCAGAAAAGGCCGGGTCTAGATTAAGCCAACCCCTTGATTTAGGCTCCTTGGACTCTGTAACTGGGATTGAAATCTTTGGTAAAATTTTATGCTTCTACCTGGTCAAGTGAAGTTTGGAGCAGGCGCTGTGGTCCACTGCAGTTAATGGTTCCGTTTTAAGGTGTCCAACCTACGCTTGGCATGTCTTCCTGTTGTCACAACTTCTTGAAAAGTGTCCAACTACAGCAAGGCTACCACGACAGCCCGGTCCCGACAACCACACGCCTTTGTCCCCAGCGCAGACGCGGGCCGCGGACGAATTTTAAGAGAGAGAAACCTTATTAAAAAATGCAAACCTATGTTTCCTCCTTAAGGTGTGAAAGAATCCTTACAATGGTAAATGCTAACAATCTACTTGGGAGACTATGAAAACTAAAGAAATTTAGAGTAAAACAAACACATGCAGACCAAAAAAAATAGAGCCAAAAATTAGTAGACTTTTCCAACAAAAAAGACAATCCATTAAAAACTAAACAAAAGGCCTGAATAGACATTTCTCCAAAAAAGATATACAAATGGCCAATAAGCACAAGAAAAGATACTTAGCATCACTAGTTATCAGGGAAATGCAAATCAGTACCACAATGAAGTACCACTTCACACCTACTAAGATGGCTATAATAATTTTTTTAAATAACAAGTGTTTCTGAGGATGTGGATAAATTGGAACCCTCATACATTGCTGGAGGGGATGTAAAATGGTGCAGCAGCTGTGGAAAACAGTTTGGTGTTTCCTCAAAAAGCTAAACAGAATTATCACAGTACCCAGCAGTTCCATTTTTAGGTATATATCCAAGAGAAATAAAAACAGGGATTCAAACAGAAATTTGTATGCCAATGTTCACAGCAGCATTATTCACAACAGCCAAAA